ACTGCCCCCAGCTTCAAAAATTTTTTAAAGAAGCAGCTAATTAGGATCACCAAAGAATTGGTCAGTCAATTGATAGTCTTTATTCATAAAGAAAACCAAGACTCCTTATTGTTGGGTTTTCTTTGTTTTGGGGTTGTCTTTTTTTTTTTTTCCCCCTTCTAGACAGGATTTACTATGTAGCCCTGGTTGCCCTGGAACTCCCTCGGTAGACTGGGCTGGGCTCAAATCCACAGAGATCTGCATGCCTCAGCCTCCAAAGTGAGGGGATTAAAGGTGTGCACCACACCACCTAACTATCAGAGTTGTGAGGTTACAAAGCCCTGGCGTGCTATCAACTACTGCCCTCAGCCTCCTGGGTGCTGGGGTTTTATGTGTGCACAATCACATTAATCACAAATCAATCATTCTTCTTGCTTTCCTAGTAAATTATCCCATGACACCAAACAGAATGTGAGGGAAAAACTGTCTCTACAGAAAAATCTATCTCCAGGGGTATTGGAGTGTGATTCAATGAGAAAATATGTGATTAGCATGAGCAAGGCCTCAAGGCCACTGGGGTGTGTGTGTGGGGGGGGGAAGAATGGAATAAAAGCCTAAATCCAGTCAGCTACAATTAACAGACGAACAGAACGAGACTATCACTGTTTTACAATACCAAAATGTTTCTGCCCCAAGCATCAACACCTCTTACCATCAGAGTGGCAAGCATGCACTGCCTCCTTCTAGGACACCCCCCACACACACACACACACACTGTGACTGACCAAGCATCCAGAGCAGTGCTGTCCCACCGGCTTTGGATGACAGGACATCTACCCAAACTGGCCAATTCAGCAGCACTAAGGACTTTTGCTTTTAATCCTATGCAACTTAAAAAGCTACCTATGATAAGGACTACCTTGCTGGATGTTGAGGCCTTAGCCCTAAAACACCTTTGAAACTCACACAGAGATCACAGAGATTGAAAAATGCCCAAGGTGACTCACTGAGCAAAATCCAGACCATGGGGACCTCTACCAAGCAAATGACCCATTGCTCCAACAATTAACTTGCAAGTACATAAAAAGGAGGAAGGGAAAATGTGTAAATTAAAAGCACCTAAAAGCCATGCCAAATGTCAATCAGAGTGTGTGGACATTGCATGGACCCAATTAAACAGACTGGAGAGTAGGCATTTACAAGCCATTTAACAATGTGAACACATAATTCAAGGGTGTGATTGGGGCACATTTGGAGCTACTTATAATTGACATACATTCAGCCATTGCATAATGATGGATCCATTCCGAGAAAGGCCCTGTTAGGCAACTTTACCATTGCATGGACATCACAGAGTGTATTTACACAAGCTGAGCTGGCTAAGTCGTCACCCAGCACTATAACCTTACAGGATCACAGCTTTAGGTACAGCCTGTAGTTACATGGACATGACTGTCGTATATCTGAAAATTGCTCCAAAGTCTTAAGTGGGAAGGTGAGGGATAGGAGCCAGTAAGGGATGGCCTGGGCCGGACAGATATCTGCTATTTTGTCTTTGAAACTCTTCATAATTAAAACTGATAGGAAAAAGAGATGCACATTTGACACATGCTGATACCACACATTAGCAAGCTGGGTGAAGGGTGGACTTCTCATTTTCTTAATTGAGACAAGGCCTCACTGTGTAGTCCTGGCTGGGAAACTGGATATGTCGACCAAGCCGCCTTTGAACTCAAAAAACTCCTCCTGCCTCTGCCTCCAGTGCTGGGATCAAAGGCATGAGCCACCAAGCCTGGATGTACTTCTGAAGAGTTCGAAGGGGACGGGGAGGCCAAAGGAAGAGAGAACAGATTAGGAAGGGGTAGAACAGAAATTCCACCAGTCCCAGGTTGCACCTGAGTCCTGCCAGCCATAGTGAGTCAACTCACAAAGTTCTCTCTAGTTTTTTGTCCTGCGACAGACTAAGAGTCAGAGGACACCACCTGCCTTTCCACCATTTGTCTAGTGCAGTTAGAGAGGTACAAAGGAGGACCTTGTCTGGACCAGATGTATGCATCTCCTCACCTTGTGTTTTTAAATCATAGAACCCTCGGCGTTAAAGAGATCACGTCAGAACCTGCCCCAAGGCACACAGTGGAAGGTCAGGGAGGCGGAGATGAACCACATCTCCCCAACCTGCCTCCAAGCTTTCTTCCTAGACTCACTCACCCAGTCAACACAGCAGGCTGTCAAACCCCAGGTCTCTGCCGCAGGACAGACTACACAATAACAAAACCTTCAGCACGGGGCTGTCAGCTGACTTCCTGTTGGGTAGTTTGTGCATACCCAAGGGTGCAAAGGGTTCCCACTTCAGGCAAGACAATCCCAGCCCAGTCTTCCCTCCTCAGAAGCCTCCAAAGCTGCTCTTCTGCCCTCAGGGGAACAGTCTTCTTGGTTTGGCCCTTGGATCCCCACTCATCCTGTCACGCCTATGCTATCAACTCCATCCCTGATTCTAACCCGTGCATTTCCTATCCTTTGCTCACCAGAACACTGATTCCTTTCCTTACCCAAGCTCAAGGCTCAGCCCACACCACCCCGAGACCAGTCACCCCCATTTCCACAGCCATAGCAAGAACCCTGGCCCTCTCAAATTAGTCCACATAGCAGCGACAACGCACAGTGAGCAAGCGCCAAGCTCATTTATCCTCACACGGTACTAGGTGGCGATCATGAATGTCTTTATTTTACAGATAAGGAAACAGGCCCAGAATAAAGAACTGCTCAAGGTTCCAAGTTCCTAAGCACTTAACAAATGCCACCACTGCTAGAATGTTCTGGAACGTGTTCGGGGTGTTTTTAATAGGGCTGCCTTGCACACAGCAGACACAATGCATGCTTGCTGGGTGTTTTCTTTGTTCTCCTCTGTGTAGGGCACAGGCTCAAGCCTGCTCTTTATTTGGTCCTCCAAGCCCACCGCCCAGTTCATCTTCAGGTTTTAAAACTAAGTCATTCAAGTGGGACACAAGGCTGGGGCTGCCACTCCGAGATCCAAGATCACGGAAGGTGAAATGACGAGTTCCAGGGCAAAAACGACTCCCTGCCATGGACATCACCCTTGAATGGCTTTCTTCCTCTTCAGTCAAAAATACTAAAGCTTGTTTGGTTTCTGATAGAGGGTTACTCCGTGTGGCCCCTTCTGGCTTGGAACTGCACCATGTAGAGCAGGCTGGGCTGTAACTCACAGAGACCCAACTGTCTCTGCCTCCTGGGTGTTGGGACTAAAGGGGGGGAGGGTCCCCCAGGCTAAGGAACTAATTCTTAGAGGAAATTCTTTTGAGTTCTGTAGGCCTCATAAAGTTGACACACAATGTGCTAAGAAGTGGCAATTTGATCAGCCATTTTAAAACTGCCAGTACCAGGGCTGGTATTTCCAGAGGCCTTGGCCATCCTAATACCAAGATACCTCCAACGTTAGCCTAGAGCGGAAGAGTAGGACCCTGAGTGCCTCCAGTGGATAGCGGGAAAGTGTGGGGCGCAGGCTGCTTGTTAACGGTCTGCGAAAATGCCCCAACCCCTCCCCCACCTCAGAGGCACCTTATCTTGGAAATGACTGGTTTATTGACTCCCTTAATCCAACACTTGTGTGTGCCCAAGGCCAAAAAGGGATCTTCCAAAATCTTCCGAGGCTGGCTTTCTCTCCTCACCAAGTTGGGGTGGAGGAGGGGCGAACGAACTGCTGTCCCTTCCAAAACAACCTTACAATTGTCTCTCCAGCCTGGCGATAAATATGCAAGTGGAGCGCTTTGTAGAATTTCCCAAAGGGCAAGAGCTATCCGCTTCAGGAAAACTTTTCCCTCCTCCTTAACCCCGCCTGGCCCAGAATCCTCCCATCCTACTCACTTTAAATCTCAGCACGCTCGGTGAAGTATATACCCCCTCGGGGTCCGTCCCCCCCCACCCCCTCCACAGCTCTCATCCTAAGGAGTCTTTCCGGTGCTCTAGCCTCAAATCCTAATTCAGAACCAAATGCGCCTGGGCCCACCCCTGGGGAAAGGAACCGTTGCTTTCTTTATCCCTCCCACCCCACACCTAGCTGGGTTCATCTCGCCTCCCCGCGTCAGTCCGGACCCAGGGTAGCCGATACCCTGGGCGCCCCACAACTAGGGCCTACTTTATATAAGGTGACACTACAGCCGGCCGGGCTAGGACCTGGGGTTTATGCATAAAACATGTCGCCTCCCCTCCCCCTCTGGCTGGCTGTGAGTCAGCGGGGCAGGATTCCTTAATCCTGGGGGTAGCGGATACCTTTGAACAGGTGGTCATGGAAGTTCTACCCAACAAAGCGCTGATGGCCATCCAGATAAGATGTTGCCTACAAGTCTATAGCTTTTGAGGGGCACAAACATTCCAATCCACTAGGGTAGGAACGCTTAAAAAAAATCTGCAGGTGAGCCCTTTTATCTTTTACCCACTAATTTAATTCTTGCAGATTTTATAGAAAAGGAAAATCTGAAGTGCCCTACACAACAAGCTTCCTGTCCAAGGCTCCCTCGAGGCACTGGGAAGAGCGGTGACTGCGGGGCCCATTGTGTCCGAAGACACAAAAAGCAAAGCAAACTCTCCGGACCTCTAGGTGCCGAGTACTGCGTCCCACAAGGCATTACGTCTAAGAGTCCTTCTCGACCCGAAATCTCGGGCCCTCTAGTGAACAGTCTGGCCTTGGACACAGGTGGACAGCCGAACCGGGTCGCTGGGCTCGATCTTCAGTCGTTCCCGAAGCCACTAGCGGCCTCAGACAGGGCCACCACCCTGAGGGCTGGGTCCGCTAAGATGCTGGCGGCCCGGGCGCCGTGGTGCACCGGACAGGTCGCGCGGAGCCCGGCTGCCGCCCAGGGGCAGGTGCAGAAGCGGCGGGCCAGCGTGCGGCGCCGGGGCTCCGCGCGCGGGCGGGCGGGCGCGGCAGGGAGGGGCGCCGGGGCTCCGCAGCCCGACGCCAGGGCGTGGTGCAGGTGGCGGCGGGGGCAGAGGCGACACCCTACCTTGATTTTTGACCTGGCAACCGGGCGCTGCGCCGCTGCCAGGTGTCCACCGGGGCCCTCGGCGTCGGCAAGCTCTGGAGTTTCGGGTTCCGGCGCGCGCGGGGACGAGCTGCTCTCGGCCCCTCCGGGCTCCCCGGCGCTGCTGCTGCCGCCGCTGCTGCTGCCGCCGTCGCTGCGGCAGTCTTCGGGGGGGTCGCGGAGCAGGCAGCCCAGGCTCACTGCGGAGGGAGGGGGCCGCGCCCGGCACTCAGCCACACGCGGCGTCACGCCCGGGCGCCCACGGCAGTTTGACCTGCGGGCGGTGCCGCCGCCCCGCCCCGGACCCGGGCACCTCGCCAAGTGGGCGACGTCCCGAAGGCAGACGAGTCGGCCCGGCCATCGGCCCCTCCAGCTAACCCGGGGTGTCGGGAGAACGGTCCTCAGGCCAACCTCTGCGCCCACGAAGCGCCGGGGTCCTCGCTCGGCGGAGCACCCCGCGCGCCAAGTTTCCTCTCGCGCCCGCGGAGGCGGGTATGCCCTCGCCTCGCCTCGCTCCGGAGGGTTAGCGGACCTTCCCGCGAGGCGTAAGAGGACGCGGGGGGCAAGGGAACCCCGGTTCCTCCCACCCCCGCCCAGGGCCACCTCGGCCCGCGCTGCAGCCAACGGTCCCGCCGCCAGGCAATTAGCCTTGTCCAGGGAGAGCACCGGGCGCCCCAGGTTTCCCAGCCTGGATTCTTGGCCCCCCTCCCGCAAGATACCTGTGACCCCGGCCGTGAGGGGCCGGGGTGGGGCCGGCTGCCCCAGTCCCGAGCGGCAGGGCCGCGCTCACCCCGCCCCCACCCGGGAGCCCCGCGCCCAGGCCCGGCCCCCGCGCTCCTCACCTGGGATGTAAGTGTCTGCCCTTTTGTCATCCGGGAGCTCATCCCAGCTGCGGACCGAGACTCCCGGGCTCCTCCTCTTCACCAGGAAGACTTTGGGCATGGTGGGGTCCCCTCTCTGACCGCGGCCCCCTCCTCCCGGCTGCTCCCCGCTAGCAGCGGCGGTGGCGCCTGGTTCCCGGCGCCCGGAGCCCACCTTCCCGCCTAGCCGGCCCTCTTCCTGCACCCCCCGCCGCGCTGCCCGGGCCTCTCCCCCTCTCTCCGAGTGGCTCGCAGCCTCCGGGCTCGGCGACACCTATGCCTTAAATCGCGCGTGAGACCACGCCGGGGAAAAAGTTTCATAAGGTGGAATAGAAAAGGCACCAGGAAACTTGGGAGTGAGCATGCGCCCTGCAACATAACGGTGTCAACAAGCTCGCTACCTGTCCGACCGGTTCCGGCGGCCGGGGCTGCCTGATCCAGCCCTTCCTTAGGCATGAATGTTTGCAAAAGAATTTAACGTCTGATTCGTCCCCCCTCCTCTTTTTACAAAAGGAAGGACAGTTTTAAAAGCCAGCCCTCTGCCTATACCCTCATCACGTCCACTTTATAGGATAACGTCTTTAAGACGTGCCCCAAGTCCATTGCTCTGAGCACCCCTACTACGAGCTGGGGTCTCCCGCGAGCTGGCCCCCTCCCCCGAGGTGTATTTGTCTCTGTCAAACAAGCCAGAAATTGACTCCGGACCTGGTGGGACTGTTCCCAGGCTTTTAGAAATCTAGGTGGTCGGATGTGGGAGGGTCCTCCGGACGCTTGTCAGGTAAGGGGGGCGGTGGGAGCTTAAGTCTCTGATCACCTGGAACACCCCTCGGTAATTAGTCTAAAAAGCCCACGTCTTTGGAGCACGTCGCTTTACTTGATCTGTGCCACTCAAACTAAGAAAATGAGGCTTGTTCTACCAAAGCAGCTTCCACCCCGAAACCTTGCACCCCAGGAGTCGCTTCACCCAAGATAAACGCACAATCAGGACAAAAGCCAAGCCCAGCTCATGTCCTGTGAACGCAGATTTAAAGCGGGTTTCTTGTCCTCGGCCTCTCTACGGCGTCTCCTAACCCCTGGACCCTCAGATTCGCCAGCAAAGAAGGACCCATCCAGGAAGCCAGGGATTGAAAATTGATACAACCTCTCCCCTCCTCCGCCGGCGAAGGCTGCGGGAAAGCTCTGAGGTTTTGTTTTTATTTTCCCTGTTTACCGTCCTTACTGAGGGACGTTGTGTTTGTGGTGGGTGGGGCGGCTGTCTGGTGAAAGTTTCTAGGGGTGGCCTGCTCACTTGGGGACCCTGTTGCCCCTATACCACGGCTCTGTTGTGCTACAACCCGCACAGCCAGCGCCGCGGGGACCCGGCTTCGCGGGGTGAGCAGATGCTGGAGGTTGACGGGGCGCGTCTGGCCAGGGGTGCTCAGGCGTCTGCGGTTCACGGAACCGCCAGCCTCACCTGCGCGTAACAGGACCAGATGCGCTCCCGGCCCACACAGAGGCTGCTCCTGTCTTCTTCCGCCTTGGAATGGCCTTTAGGGATACAGCAGCCTCGTAACGGATTTCTGGGCTTGGCTGGCGTAGTCTCGGGGCGCACAGAGAGGGGGCGCAGCTCGGCGAGGCTCTGGAGGGGGGACAAGGCGCACGCACCATGACTACCGATCCGCCCTCAACGATTGACCCTTCTGGGAATCAGCTCTGAATTCCGGGTTTCCTCCGAGATAACTGGTGTAAGAACGAAAAGGACTTTGATCCTGGTGAACTAGAAGAGGAAAATATGTCTATAGCGGCACAAGAAAATGAGGCTTCTTGGCTACGGAGCGATGGCGCAGCTTCTGGGCAACTCTGCAGATGTATTTTTATCTGCTAACAAATTGGAGACTTGCTAGAAAGAAGGAGCGTGGTGAATGAAAGAATAAAAATAAAACCACGAAGCCACAGAATTATCCTCCATCTTTAAGACTCTCCAAAACTTCATTCAAAATTCCTTATTTTAGTCAAGAACCAGTCAATTCTATTGATAAAGCCTGCTTATCTGCCTCCCTCCCTCCCTTCTTCCGGATTTCAGTCACTGAAAACTGGGTCATTATTTTATTTAAAAAGATCACATAGACTTATGCTCTAAAAGCTTAGGAACCTCAAAAGGCTCTGCAAACTTTAGGGCACTGGGAATGGAGAATAACATGATTGGGAGAATACGTATCTATGATATTTTCTAGATTTTTCGTTTTAGTAAAATTTATTTTTCATACAATATATTTTGATTATTGTTTCCCTCCCCCAACTCCTGCTGGATTCTTTTTTTTTTTAATAGTTTATTTTTATTTATATGTACTGGTGTTTTCCCCGCTTCACACATGGTGCCAGATCTTGGTTGTTGTGGGCTGCCATTCGAGCGCTGTGAATCGAACTGAGGTCCTCCGAAAGAACATTCAGTGCTCTTAATCCTGAGCCCCTTAGATTTAAGGCAAAAGAATCCGAATGTGTTTTTATTCCCTCTCTCTAGGTTTTTCGAGACAGGCCTTCTCTGTGTAGCCTTGGCTGTCCCGGACTTGCTTTATAGACCAGTCTGCCCTCCAACTCACAAGGATCCGCCTGCCTCCGCCTCCCCTAGTGCTGGGATTACAGCTGTCTGCGCCCAGTCATCCTTCTCTTATTTTTAAAACTCAGTCTTGATCATGTGTTTATCAATATCATTAACATACAAAGGACCAGCCTTTGCCTTCAGTGTCGCCTCAAAAGTATGCAAACAAACTTAATTCAAAAGAAAACAAAACACATACACACAAAATAAAACCCTCAGGCTTTAAGTGGAGGGAGATGAGATATGGTCCACGCCTCAAGAAAAGCTTCTGATGAGAGTCTGGTATGAGATCCTAAAAGTGGGTCTCCCGCTCCCCTTCATGCTTCCAGTGATGGTGTGCTCACTGTCTCCAACAGCTTTGTTGTCTTTGGTTAGAAATATCTCCTTCAGATTGTGTTTCCGGCTCAACTCTCATTCTGTCCTTGGGGGATGATTATTCCAGAGCCCCCTCCCCTGTCTCCTTGTTCTATACATAGTTCAAGTTCAGGTCAGCAGATTTACGTTTTCTTAGTTAAGGTTTCTCTTCTCCAGAAACTACTGTCAGGTTAAAAATAGACAGGTACAGACCTGCTCAGTGATAGCCATGGAACACACAGCCATAGAAAATAGGATGCTTCTGGAGGAATAGTCCAGTTTTTAATGGACAACTCAGAAATATACACTGTGTGTGGCGTGTGTGTGTGGCGTGTGTGTGTGTGTGTGGTGTGGGGGGGGTATGTGTGTGTGTGTGTGGTGTGTGTGTGTGTGATGTGTGTGGTGTGTGTGGGTGTGTATGAATTAAATTGATCTGCACAAGCAGCACCAGAGGACAGAGGCTAATAACCGTCTCACCCTTCCCTTTAGTATTATGTCGGTTTCCCTACAGAAGCTATAAAATAGAAGAGAAGTCAAGCTAGGCGTGGCTGCATGGCCTTTGACACCTTTAATCCCAGCACTGGGGAGGAAGAGGCAGACAGATCTTTGTGAGTTCAAGGCCAGCCTACTCCCATAATGAGTTCCAGGACAGCCAAGGCTACACAGTGAAAGCCTGTCTAAAGGGGAGGAAAAAAAAAAGGCATAAGGTATAAGGATTAAAATGGAAAAAAAAACCGAATATCATTTATACTCAGTGTGACTATGTGAGCAATCCAGGAGAATCTCTTGAGTATATTATTAAATTAATGAGAATGTAGCAAGGTAGGTGATTGTATAGAAGAAATGTCATGACATTTCTCTTTTTATACACTTATTTTATGTGCATTGGTGTTTGCCTGCATGTATGTTTGTGTGAGGGTGTCAGATCCCCTGAACCTGGAGCTACAGACAACCACGAGCTGCCATGCGGGTGCTGGGAACTGAACTCAGCTCCCCTGGAGGAGAAGCCAGTGCTCTTAACCATTGAGCCATCTCTGTAGCTCTAGGACTATGTTGCTAAATGCTGACAGCAGTGGGGAAAATAGGTCGATGAAGAGGAATAGCCTACAGTAGCATGGACAACATGAAGCTTCTTGCAGGCTTTGAATGTGCAGGGTTGAGAGAAACTGAGAGACGTTAAAGAAGATACTAACTAGTGGACACATCGCATGACAGACTGGGAGACTCCAACCAGGCAGAAGGCCCAAGTCTCTCTGTAGATTGCTTTTTCTTTTCTTCCCCAAGACAGGGTTTCTCTGTGTAGCCTTGGCTGTCCTGGACTCACTTTGTGGACTAGGCTGGCCTTGAACTCACAGAGATCTGCCTGCTGCTGCTTCCCTGAGTGCTGAGATTACAGGCGTGTGCCACCACGCCCGGCTTGTAGATGTCTTAAATTGTCATTTATTTATTTTGGAGTACCAGGATGAATGCCCTGGTACTCATCCATGCTGTGCAAATATCCTGACACTGACCTACACTCCAGCCCTCGTGTATAAATACACACACGAATACACACACGCATGCACACATACACACACATACATATAAACTTAGTACAATCTTTTAGAGTACTTGGGACAAAAAGCCGTTCCTGGTTTGTGACAAACTTGTTCTGAAGTTGTGTGAGAGCCAGAGGTGGTGATGCACACCTGCAGTCCCAGCACCCAGGAAGCAGAAGTGAGAGGACGGCTTCAGGTGTGAGGGCAGCCTGGGCTTTCAGGGGGTCTCACTTCAGCCAGGGTGTAAGGAGAGTCAGTGTTCTTGAAGGACTTGGTACATAGACCCAATAGATCAGATGTCATAGAAATGTAGAAAGACTGGGATGAATCTTCCCTGGGCCTCAGCCAGCATTCAACACTGCAAAGCTCACAGTGGGAACCAACAGTGTGCCTTTCCCACCTGAGTCAGCAGTCCCAAGGAACCCCCGCTGCTGTCTACTCAGTCTGAGAGGGTCTCAGGGTCTCCGATGAGGCACACCAGAGTCTGGGAAAGCCCAGAAGGTGTTCTTACCTGCTCTGGGGCATGCCTTCCCTGCCACAGTAAACTGCTTCATCCTGCTCTAAGCCCATGTGATTCTGGACAGCTGGCTCCACCCCTCTGTGGAAGGTGGACGTCTCACCCAGCTAATCGGAGCCTTCTGTCAACTTGGCCACAGTGACTGCCCCAGTGGCAGATGTGACACCCAAACAGAACCAGCTCCGAATATGAGCGAGGGTTGAGAGCCCTTCCCTCTACAAGGAAGGCCTGATCACTCCTGGAGGAGGAAGCCTCCTAAGAAGGATGC